CCCATTTTCTTAATGAGAACGGGGTGAGAGACAGTGTCAAAAGTCTTCCGGAAGTCCAGGAAGACTATGTCCACTGCTACCCCTGCATCTAATGATCTGGTGATCTGATCATAAAAAGTTCTCTGTGAATTCCAGGGTTTTCTGTATTTGCAGCCCTTAGGCAGTGTTCATTTAGGTGCACTGCACTGCAACATCTGAAAGTGTTTCTTGAAATATGATTAAATACAAAGGGAAGTTTCTCTCTTGCTTTGTTGCTTATCCAGTTGTTTCAGTTTAGTCAGTAGCTGGTTAATCATTTTCTTGCTGTCTTGAGACTAGTAGATGAAGTTTCCATAGAGCACTTGTCCTGTCTTAAGGGTTTGGCAATCAGTTTTATTAAAGCAGTATGTTCATCTCAGTAAGATTTTTTGGTAGAACTGAAGTGATGTTGGATAAAAGGATATAGTTGGCTTATTAACTGAGGTCTGTGATTTGTATCTATGTTGTATTATGTATTTTTCTTCTTGTTTCTCTATACTACATTTGACCATTTTGTTACATATCCTTATGCTCCTTTATTGTACTTTGCGAGATCTTTCATTTTACAGGTGCTTTCAAGCAGTGGGCATGACAGCAGGTTTTTGATAGTCTGAGGCTCCATGCTGCAGTCACAGGTGGTTCAACAATTATATAGCCCCACTTCTTCATTAGTTCCTTGCATCGTCCAACTCCAGTACATAGACAGTTGAGACATCACCGTCTTTGCTGTGGTTTGTCGTACCACATATTGACTAACATAATTGGTGCTATTTTCATGCTACAAATATTTGATGCATTCCAGAACATGTTCTATAAAATACAACCCCAGTTGAAATATTTTGAGTAATACAACACCAAATAATATATTTTGAGTTCTGTGTATTTTGTTTGGTTCACTGTAGTGACTTCTGGTCTCTAAGCACCACTTAATGGTTTAGATTGTCTAATTTTTAAAGTTGCCAATAAAAGAAAACTATTAAGGTTCTGGTTCCTGATTTTTCATCCGTCTCCCCCCAGTTTAAACTCATTTTAAATTTTTGCTTTGTGTCATAGTTAATAGATCACTGTTATTGCTTTCCAAAGGTAATAGTATCACTAAGTTGAAAGTTATTAAGTTACATAATAGTAACCAATGCATGCTTGATATTAAGTAGATTTGGGTTATACTAGACTTCATATACCTTTACTACTCCTTTCAAATTAGGCACATGTATTTTGGTGCTCTTGAATCAAAAGAGCCACTCCCATAATCTAAAATAATTAAATTAGGCAACTTGTGCATCCTCTTGTTCCAAAGAATATAGAATATGTTTCTAAACAAATTCTGCTACTCACAGAAGTATCAGATCTGTTTGCATGCCTCAAGTTTTAGGGACTCAACGCTCAGGGTAAGCATCATCTGCAAGTCAGGCGCTTATGGGATCGAAAGCTGAGTCTCACGAAATAATCAGTGTCACTTCCCATTTCTGAACATTTAGAGCCGTGTAGTGTGCATTGGTGGGGATGATGACTCATCACAGAATGAGAAGTTTAAATCAAGTTATCCATGTGTTCCTGACTGATTAGTTATTCCTACCTATTTAATTAATACTTGGCTGTGGCCATTGCCTTTCTTTTTCTTATCCTGACATCTACTAGTACCACTTTTAAACTTTCTTATAGGAATCAGTGAAGCTTAGCCCACATTTCCAGATTCCGGGTCCCTGACATGCAAGCACTTCTGCCTGCAGCTAACTTCATGCATGTGACATGCATTTCAGTGATGTCATTGAGCGCAATCAGATAACCCTTCCTGAATTAAACGTTTGTAAAGGTCATATAATTGAGACCACACATACAAAATGTCTTTTGGGAAAACTAAAGAATAAGTAACATTATCAAAAGCATCTTTTTTTATGTGAGAGCTGTGGGGTGATAAGGAGTCCCTTTTCTCTGCCACTTTCTCAGACTGCTGCCTGTGGAGATCATCTGTGTCCCCCTCTGCTCCCTCTGGACTGGAACCAGCTAGCTCAGTCTCTTCCCACTGTTCTTCTGTCCAGTGCACTGGAAATGCACCACACTTGTCTTTCCTGCCTTTTTTTTCCACAATCCAACTCCCACGTATGTAGGTTGAAGTGGATAGAGCTATGGCTTTAAGTTACAGGGTAAGGTGTGAGAGGCTAGTGATGCCAAGATACAGCTGATTTACCAGGGGCACTATCTGGGACTGGGTTCACTGAAAGCAGTGAAGAATAAAATCAAGTCTTCAGAAATGAAATACTCATTGCAATTGCTGATTCTCATGGATGTCTGTGGATTAGTTCTTTGGTTCAGGATAAATATTCTGGGCTAGAGATGGGGTACTGAAATAATAGGCAGTTGTATACTGGGGGATCCTATGTACTACTATAATATAAACAGTAAAAGGTGAAAGATTTTTGCGATCTGAAAAGAAGCCAGAGCTATAAAACCTATCATAAACCCTTATTAAAAACTATACAACTTTAATTAGCAATGACCCTCAGAAGAAGAGTTCACTGTTAAAGGGGGTAGGGATAGATTTAATTTCTTTTATACCTTTTCAATAGAAAAATCTGTAGGTTGGAGAATATACACATCACTTCTCAGCAATAGGAATTAGTTTTAGCCATGTCTACGTTTAGTTAATATATTCAAGCTTTTCTCTGCATTTTTCCATTTTTTTTTTTTTTTTAGTATTCACTATCACGCAGTACATCATTTTTACATCTGTAATTGTTTACTAATTATTTTAAGAAGCTGTCAGAAATGCTTCTGACCCCAGTGTCTTCAGATGTTTGTTTTAGAGAACAGCGTGTAGAGATTCTTTTGTTCCATAATTGATTTTGATGTAATGGGTACTTTTTGTTGAAAAAAAAGTGTTGCAGTCTAAAGAGCATGCTCCTCAGATTCAAAAGTTCACAGAAATATTGTTTGTGTGTATTTTTTCCTTGTTTAAATCAATGTATGCATGTTTCAATGGTTTTGTTTTTCTCTGTGTCAGAATGTTTTTTTTTTCTTTTTGAATATCATTAATGTGTAGGGTAAATTACCAGTTTTGCTGCTTGGCCGATCTGCAGACCTAAGGCCTGGAGAATTTGTGGTTGCGATCGGAAGTCCATTTTCTCTTCAAAACACAGTGACTACTGGGATTGTTAGCACCACTCAACGTGGAGGCAAAGAATTGGGACTTCGGAACTCCGATATGGACTACATCCAGACAGATGCAATTATCAATGTAGGTCACTTTTTCATAGGATTGTGTAATTCTTATTCCATTGAATTTAGATTTCTGAATCCAGCTGTTAGCTACACGTCAATGAATAATTTTTTCCTAAGGAAAGAGGATGTTGATGAATTTTCTTGGGGGAAAAAAAAAGGATTTTTATCAGTCTGAATGTGGAAAGCAGCCATGCAGCAGTATTTGATTATATTTTTAAAGTCTTGAACAGTATCATGTATAACTTCTGACCTCAATTGGAAATTATTATAAACCGGAAGGGTGAAAGTAGTCTCTGGTGCCAAACACCTTTTAAAAATCCATCTTTTTTTTTTTTTTTAAGAAGAAAGTTGGAATTTGAGGATCCAAGTTTGCTTTTACACCAAGACAAAGTGATACTTTTTGTTCTCTTACTGTTAGCCCTGTATGAACTTTTCAATCAGAACGCTTGTTCCCAGAGCTGTCCGTGCACAGGGTGTAGCGGAGAGGGATGGGGGGACTTGTGTACATGGTGCAGGTGGGAGGCCCCCATGGTTTGCAGTATTGCAGCCTGTGTGATGTGCAGCCCCTGGCTGCTTAGAAGTTGGACAGCCCTGCTCTGGATCATTAGTGCACGAATGCTAAGAAACCACAGTTGTTTTCTAAAGTTTCAGTGGCAGGACAAGGGAAGGCCAGCTCTTTGGGAAAGCTGAACTAAAAAGGGGTCCATTTAAAGATCCTAAATGGCTGCTAGGAAGTGGTAGATTATTTCAAAAGTGCCTCTAATTTCTGCTTATAGTAAAGTCATGCAGTGATATTAAAATTTATCCTTTCTATTTATTTATTTTTAGTATGGAAATTCTGGCGGACCGTTAGTGAACTTGGTAAGAATTCCTTTTTACGTGCGCGCGCTTGATGTAAACTTGATTTTTTTTATTAAATAAATTTGTCAAAGGAAAGGGGCTCAGTGACATTGCTAACTGGCTGTGACTGTACAAACATCACAGGGTTCTTACTAATCGCTCATCTCTGTTTGCTTTGGCAAGTCACAGGATGTATTTGGATTTCAGCAGTCAAAGTGTTTGCCATTTGCAAAGTTTTAAAAATGAGTGTAATGTCTGATGTGACATGTGAAAGATGATAAAAATATTTTTATTTTTTTAAATAAGTGAGATGAATTACCCTAATTACAATCTGTGATGCTAGCAAGCTCACTGAATCCTGAAGTTGAGGTCAGTGGTATTGGGATTTGTTCTTCCTTGCAGTTTCACACTCTGATAGCCTGGAAGAATCCTAATCTGGATCAGGGTAGTGGATATTCATGGCCTGGCCTACAATCTGGAACTCATCTGACCCTCTTCAAAAACAGTTGCTAGCAAACTCAAGAAAAAGCTAAGTTTTAGAGCTGGGTTGCTGAGAGCGAGCGAGCGAGCAAGCTTTGGTTGAAAACAAAGGCACAAGTACTAGACATGACAGCCTTTAACTAGGTATCTAGGGACAGATGGACTTTGGGAGTAGAAATTCTGCTTCATAGGAAATGCTGGCTTTTAGATTATTTTGTTTCCATTGAGAAACTTCCTTGAAATTCCAAAACAAAAATTTGGGTGTGTGGGGAAACTGCTTTTTCCAGCTAAAATTTCTTTTGCTATAGCCTTACCAACAAGCAGTTATAGGGAGCAGGTTCGCCTTGGATTGAATGTTATCTTTTATGTTTTAATAAATCTCATCCTTTCTTACTGTGACATTGTACTGGCTGCTGGACTGTCCCCTACAGATGGACATCATCTTCTCACAAATCCAAATGTGAATGCTACTAGATAACATAGCAAAAGGGGTCTTGCACAGCTAGGTGATTTAGAGCAGGGATGGCCATCCTGCTCTAAATCAGCATGAATTCAGCACAGGCAGTGTCTGTGTGTGGCATGTAGTGGACTGGGGAGGGGATAGACGGCACAGTGGCAGATAGGGCAAGGAGCAGAGCACATGATCATGCAGGGAGCACAGGGCAGAGAGCAGAAGGCAGAGCAGCAGATCAGATACAAGAAAGGGATAGGAGTAGCATGTGGGGAGGTGGCAGGGCTAATTTATAGCATGCTTTCCAAAATGGTTGGCCCCCACAGATTTAGAGCAGTCATCTGGGCTGTGCATGTTCAGGTCCTTGTGCTGTCATAGTTTCGCATCCAAGGGCCTTGCCCCGACAGTTGGCTGTAGAATTAATCCATCTCTCCGGCCCAGTGAATATTTAATTATTTTTACAAAATGAAACTGTTCCAATAGGAGAGATCAAAGAGACTGACTCTAAATCAGTGATGAAGGTCTGCCTGAGCCTGACCATCAGTTTGATTCTGGGGTTCCTATGTCTCAGCTGAGCGCTATCACTGGCCATCAGGTTCTTGGCCATGGTGGCATGTCTCTCTTTCTAGAAAATTCCATCTGGGACCTGATAACTCCTTCTCCATGAATTCCTCCTCACAATTTTCATTCCTAGGAAAAGCTTCTGGTGTTGATTAACTGCTGTTCATCAGAAATACTGATGTGCAAAGTAATTCCTCACCATCTTAAATGCTGACTAGTTGAGTATCCTGCAATGGACACCCCTGGAATGAATTGAAAACAATGGAAACAACTATACAATAAGATCCTGCTGGTTGTGAGTTCAGGGAATAGTTTTTTTGGTTGTTTTTTTAGTTTAAACTTGAAAATTAAAGTTAAACGAATGCTTGAAACTTAATGGAGAAATACAGTTTAGAAATAGTCCACAGTAATTTTTTGCAGGTACATTTTTTGTTAACTACATGTAAGAATTCTTCCCTTACGTTATTGCTCTATGGCATGTTATGATTCCTAAAATATCTTTTTTTTATTTCTCCAGGATGGTGAGGTGATTGGGATTAACACGTTAAAAGTTACAGCTGGAATCTCCTTTGCAATTCCATCTGATAAAATTAAAAAGTTTTTAACTGAATCCCATGACAGACAATCAAAAGGTATTGTACTATGTATTTGAAAAATATGCATTAGAGAACCAAAATAAAAATGTTTTTTTATTTTTGAGACCCACAGTGCTTCCTGTCAAGGCTGTTTTCTTTTTTTCTTGGTACCAGGGAAAGCTGTAACTAAGAAGAAGTACATTGGCATACGGATGATGTCACTCACTCCTAGGTAGGTAGAGATGGTCAGTTTTCCATTTATACATATATTTAGTTGGATATGGCTATTCATGTATTGTGAGCAAACTAATCTCCACAGTAACAGTAGATAGATAAGTTTTCAGAATTTGGCCTTCTGTAGACTCTGCTGATATTTCTGCCAGTAGTTGGCTGTCTTTTTTACGTGTGTGACTATAAAGTGCCATGAAACCTTCAGTGGATCTTCATGGAAGCCATTTTTAATAACACCACTGCTTTCTCCAAAAAGGCCACAAGAAAGAGTATGAAACAACTGCTGTTTGGCTCTGGGGGAATTCTACATACGATGATCCACATGGATCTACTGTGAGGTTTAGGTGGGGGGAGCAGGGGCTATGGTATCTTTATGAATCATAGCACCTAACTTCATATATACCGTACTGATCCAGTTGTAAGGTAACCCCACATATAAATCAACTGCAGATTTTCAGGTTCAGTAAAAAAATACAGCTCTTTTTCCCTGAGTATAAAGCAGTAACTATAGATGAACACTACAAGCTGCTATTGTCTCTGTAAAATCTTGCAGGAAAAACAAATAACCCAGGAAAGGACTGAAAGGGGTAAATTAAATAAAAATAAAAACTGCACTGAAAAAGATGTTGCCCTGGTATTTATAATGCATGGGCAAAAGCATGGCAAACACAGAAATCAGGATGTAGGGGTCAGCCTTGCTTGGAAGTTGAGTGCAAGTTTTATGGTTCTTTTGGAGGGACAGAAATGGTATTGTAAGACTACAGTATACCTGACTGATGGGACCAGATCACTGAAACTGGTGGTTCTGTCAGGTCCTGTTGGTTCAGACCCCATTCAGATAAAAATTGCCCTAGCAAGACTTGAGTAACACATGTGGTCTTGCCAAAACACAAGCCGTGTTTTTTAGGGACCCTTTACATGTACAGGTAAAGGCACGGTGGGATCTAATGTGCGATCTGCCCAATTGCTTCTTCTGCCATGCCGCACATGCATGGCAAGAGGCACGATTGTGGGATTGAGATCTAACTTTGTAGCTGTTTGGAGCTTTTTATAGTGTGATAGCTAGTCTCAAGGGCTAGGTACAGAAATTACACATGAACTGGTATAAGTGATTGGAAACTGGTTCGAATCTGTAACACAGTGTAAGTTCAGTGCACATAAACTGCTTTCAAAATGGCCCAAACTGGTTTAAGATAAACCTAGATGGATGTGGTATCAGACTTAACTGATTTAGGTTACATCAGTTTATTGAACTTCTGTCCCAGATTCGCTCCAGATTTAAGTTAACTCATGGTCCCCCAGCCATGGGGGATGTTTTGCACTTCCCCCATAAGCTCCTCCTTGCAGGGTGGGTGGGCTACCCTTGGCCCAAATTGTCTGCTCTAGCAGAGCAGGGAGGCATGCTTTAGCTTTCCCTAGCATCTGTCCTGGGCCACTGTAGGCACGTGGCTGCATTTGTGGAATCAAAAGTGAATGTCTGTTCACTTGCTTACCAGTTCAGTCTACACAGCTTAGACTAATCTGTGACAGTTGAACTGATTAAATCTTTGGCTTTTTGATTATCTGTACTTAGCCAAAGTAATTGCATAATTAACCAGTTCATTGCACAATACAGGCGACCCTCACCATTTATGGGGGATACGTTCTCGTATCCCCCCTGCGAATGACAAAATCCATGAATAAGGCACTGCATTCATGAATGCCGTCTATATTCATGAACTCAGTGCCTCTGGGGTGAGGCACGGCTGCTTTGGTGACTACGAGAGGCCAGTGGCGGCAGCAGGAGCCTGGTGGCAGCAAGTGCAGAGCTCCCGAAGAGCTCCTTTAAGTATATTTAAGAAGCGGGTTCAGCATTCTTGAGTATCTGAAATGGTGAATGCTGAACCTGCTAATAGTGAGGGTTTCCTGTACCTATAATATGTAGAGGAAGGCTTAAACTTTGCAGCTGTTTCTGGATGTCTAGTTAAGAGTAGCCAAAAATGTGTTATCTGTGATGGGTATGAATTTTTGTGGCTTTCTCTTGAATCTGGATGTCATTACTGTTTTGCCTTTGTTACCCAGTCAGTGCTTTATTGTAATGTGCTTTGCAAGGAGTTACTCCTGAAGATCTAAAGTAATGGGTCAGTGTTTTAAATTTTTGTTTTCTTGCAAGTATTGAAATGACTGCCAGTAAAAATGAAACAAAGCAAACAAGCCCTTGTACCAAGAAATCTATATGCTTTAAAATGTTTAATTGTTCTTAAAACGCTGTTGAGCCTTAGAAATTGAACTGAATTGCAATATATGTCACTTCAGTTTTTATATCATACATTAGCAAACAGAAATTACATGACCATTTGTCAAAATATATTAATATCACCATTACTTTTTTCAGCAAAGCTAAAGAGCTGAAGGATCACCATAAAGACTTTCCTGATGTTATTTCTGGGGCCTATATTATTGAAGTAATACCAGATACACCAGCTGAAGTGTAAGTTAAAAGATTTTCTTTCAACACAGCCAACACAACCTGTTTAAGGAATTAGTAATAAGAAGCTTTCACATCTAAATTAAGTTTCTAAAGTAACCAGATTACAATCTGATAACTGTTAGGTTAAAATGGTGATTTCAGTTAAGTATTTCACGGGCACCCACCAATATTACAACATGAATATTACAGTGAAACTCTTGTCACAAATCTCAGCCTAGAGTTTAAGATTTAAGCATTAAATGGTTGTGATAACTAAATTTATCCTTTTACTTAGTGTGAAAGGATGAATTTCGCTATCACAACCATTTAATGCTTAAATGGGTTTAGGCAAATTGGTCTGGAAGTGTGGGAGACATGCCACTATTGCCCAGGTTCTGTGTTCTTTATGGGCAGAAATCTCCAATCATCGGAATATTTCTGTTATTTTTCATGAGCATTTTAATTCTTATGAATCAATTAATTACTTGGTAGCTTGGGTAGAAGAGGAAAAAACTTATCAAGATCATGAAACTGGAGCTATTATAGGACAAGAGCAAAAGTTACCATAGTGACAAAGCAGCATGGTTAGTATTAGAGGCACGTAGGAATAAACCAAATTAGAACTAATACTCTTTGGCATGTTTTTGATGGCCTCTGTGCAAATATTTAGCACTAATATCTAGCTAATAACTAGCCACAATATAGCAGTGACTTAGTGCAAGATGAATTTAGTTGTTCAATGTGCTATTTCTAAATGTGCCTGTTTGACATGGGGATAACACTGGGTTTAACTTGGGGTGAGACTACATTTTAAGGAAAGCAGAAGAAGAAGTCCTAGACTGTGAAAATGGAAATAGTAGCAAAGAGAGAAGCAGAAGCAGAAAAGAAGAAATCTGAGGTCATGAAGACAAGTTCAGAATCTGAATATTTGAGATGTAAAGGATTACCCTGAAATTAAATATTATTCACCCTTGTATACTGCACAGAAAATCAGATGATTAAGGTTGCTTTTTTCACCAGGACAAATTGTTCAAATAGTTCTTGCTGCCATAAGGCTTATACCACTCTTGGGGTATGTCTGTACAAGATGCTTTACTGCACAGTAGACTAATCTGTAAATACACGTACTAAACTAACTGCACAGTAGATACTGCTAGCTGCCCCACAGCAGATACTGCGCAGTAGGGCTTATGTAGATGCTGTCTGGGAGCAGATTTGATCCCAGTCAGGCACACCAGCAGGGGGCCCAGTCTTGATGCTGCTCAGCTCCTGACTCCCTGCAAGAACCAGGAGCTGATTGGCATGGGAAGGGGTACCTCTCTGCCCTTGCCCCCCCCCCAACCGCCTATCTTGGCACTGTGGGGATCCAGGCTCCCCACAGGAGCAGGGAGCTGAGCAGCACTGGGACTGGGGAGCTAGCGGTGGGGCAGTTAGCAGTGAGCCCCCAGCTGGATGGGGAATCCTCACTCAGCCGAGAGAGGCAGGGAGTTGTCCCACCGGTGGGGCAGCTAGCAGTGAGGCACTGGATTTCCCACCTAGCCGGGGGCTTGCTGCTAGTTGCCTCAGCAGCAGATCAGGGCAGGGGGCTGGGACCTGCCCCTCTCTCACTGCTGTTTCCCTGCCCCGTGTCTTGATTGCCAGATCTGGGCATGGGGCTGCGAAAGAGCTGTGGGGGGATAGGGGTAGGTCCCAGCCAGCCCCAGGCTGTGCAGAGCAGTCTCTGTGCAGCCCAGAGCTGGCTGGGACCTTGCCTAAACCGGGACAGAACCTGGCCAGCCCTGGTATGTTCAGAGCAGTCCGGGCAGCCTGGAGTTGGCTGGGACCTGACCCAGACGAGGACAGGTCCTCGCCAACCCCAGGCTGTGTGGGAAAGCCCTGCTGGGTACAGGGTTTGTCCCCATGTGCATGGTGCAGGAGAGCTCTGCAGCAGCAGCCCTCTCCTGGCCCCATGCACATCAGGATCCTTCCTGATGCGTACAGGTCTAGGAGATGGCTGCTGCTGCAGCCGACAGGGCTCTCCTGGCCCCCTGCGCATGGGGACTGGCCCTGTGCTCCTTGCCAGGCCCCCGGCTGGCACCCAGAGAAAGCCTGGAGCTCCCCCTAGCTGCTGCAGGGGGGCAGAGCAGGGCAGACTGTACTGGGTTGCTCCCATTGGGAGCAAATCTGCTCCGAAGAGGGAACACGTGTAAATATGCTCCGGGGTCGGCTTACTGCACAGTATTTTTACTGTGCAATAAGGCTACTACAAATTAATAGCATTTGTAGATGAACCTTTTGAGAGCTAGAGGAAGAGAGGCAGGTTCTGTTACATCATCTATATATAGGGACCAACAATTCCAAATGGACTGAGCTGGAATGTCCAACTTTTGGCTCCCTAAAGGGATCTGTTTTCCTAAAGTACAGATCACCTGACGGACCTCTGAAACGCATGCTCATTTAAGGCCCTTCAGGTAAGGGACTGGAGATCTCTAGTTGTTTGAAAATGTTGACCAAAGCTTTTGTAAAGCATTTATCTGTGGGTGGAAAAGGCCTATGAATATTTTGTGGTTATGTAAAAGGATTCTGCTCAAGGGCTGAATCATGTCTCATCTGGTTACTTGGGTTAGTATTTCCATGACTCAGAGCCAGAGTTTCATGCAAGACAGGGCAAGCCCAGGAGGTATGTAAAGTGTCTCCGCTTCCCTGCTCCTACCCCATCCCTCAGGACTAGCAGCAGTCTTGGATAGCTTTTATGCAACAAATACGAGAGGAACCCAGTGCAGAGCATGAAAGACCTTTAGTAGAAGGAATATGTTCTATACTGTTTTCTCCTATTGTCCTTTGTTTTACTTTGGTATACTGTTTGGCAAGGGATTCTCTCTTTTGGCCTGTTCTTATAGCACATGGCACAAAAGTATCTGGTACTTAACTGAGGCTTTGGAAAACTACTGCAAGAAAATAACGGGTGGAACAACCTGCATTTCTGCGTGGTAAATCTATGTATTAAATGCCTGCGAATGTTGTTTGAGTTTAGTTTTAAATTATACGGGTGCTCCAACTTGGATATAACCTATTATAACAAACCCTTATGGAACTAGGAGAAAAGTTCGTTAACATAAGTTGTTTCCTATGATAGGATTGATCCATTTGCTGCATCATACCAATAAGAAAAATCAGTTCCTGCTGTTAGAAATGTTAAAAAGGGAAGAGCAGGGTTATTAAAAAGGTTTGTTATAATGAGATTATACTGTATTATAGAGAGCAGTGTGGGATATTTGATGTACATATCTGTATCTGTCCACAACTTGAAATACCTGTAAATGCAGTGTGCAGCTTGAATTGCTTTTACCATTTATGATCAAAAGAAAAAATTGAAACAAAACCCCTTTAACTACCTTTAAAAAACCCTCAAATCTTACAGATTTGCCTTAGTCTCCTCTGCCGATTTGGTATCTAGGATCCTAATGAAAAATGCATAAATACACTTGCAAATGTTACTGTAGGGGTTTCAATAATGTTATGCATACCACCTGAAATTTAGTACCATATTCGAATAATGCATCACCACATAACTTGTCCAGCCTGCTATTGTATGCCTGTTATATTTCTCTGTATGTCAATCGAATCCAATCCTTTGACTGCCATTCCTGGTGGCTTATGGCGCTTCAGTTCTCTTTCAGTTGCATTACAAGGAGGAGAAAATAGAAACTTCAATAACATATCCCTCTTTTGTATTGCAGTGGTGGCCTGAAAGAAAATGATGTGATTATAAGTATCAATGGACAGGCAATAATCTCAGCCAATGATGTCAGTGACATTATTAAAAAGGACAGTACTTTGAACATGGTTGTACGCAGAGGCAATGAAGATATTATGATAACAGTGGTTCCTGAAGAAATTGACCCTTAACTAGAAACATGAGCTGGATTTCATGTTCTTTTAACACCAATGGACTGCCTCTGTTATCTCTGTGCTGGTACAGGAAACATTAGACTTTTGCCCAACATTCTGCTTGTTCAGTGCATTAGCATTGGCCAAAAATTACTTTTCAATAGGTTTAAGGTGCAAAACCCATGTTATGTCACATACTGCAAATGATAATTTTCCTTTTGTATTTTATGTATGCAATATATTCTTTTCTGGCTTTTACATCTGCTGCTCCTTTAAAAAAAAAAAATCAACCTTTGTTTTCCTATGTGTGGTAGGTTTATCACTATTTCAACTAAGATTTAAAGAAAACCCATGCACACAATGTGTGCTGTGGTATTCAGGTATTTATAGATTAGCTGTTACTTTAACTGGAAATACCTTTGTAATAGGATTGTTGGTTTTTAAATTAAAAAAAACAAATAGTTGGAACAATGGCTTGTAAACAGGAAACCCCCAAAACTGAAATAACCTTTTCTTCAGAATCCATGCAGAATTTTTAATACTATGATTTTTTTCCTAGTGTTATTAAAATAATTCTACAATATTTTCTTCTCTGGTGTCATTCATTTTACCTTGTATAAGATGTTTTATTTTTGAATGTGTCGTGTCTGTCTCAAACCATTTTGTGATGCACTTATTTCCACTGCCTGTAAGCCAAAGCCACTTCATTTTTTTCATTTCCCACATGCCACAACAGAATCCAAGATAAACAGTGAAAGGGAACAAAGTCTAGTACTTGCATTCTGCAGATATGGTTTCTTAACTTCGTCTGCTCACATATGGCACATTATGATGCTAGTCATCCACTTATATATTATTTTTTCCCCCACTTCTTTTCATTTTATTATATGCCACCAGTTTCAGAAACACAGTTGCAGTTTACAATTTGCTGACAGTAGAGGTTCCTGAATGGTGGTACACAGACCACTAATGGTGTAGACTTGACTATGTGCTTACATGATTGCCTTGTTCTAGATGCTAAATTAGAAGAGAAACCAGTTGTAATGCATTCAGTACCTTCATAATATTGATTCTTTAATGTGTACAATATTGTCTGGCTGTGATTGGGAAGGGGAAGTGGTTCACAATGTGGCCTGTTTTATACAGATTCTTGTATCGTGTTTGTCGCTGTAGCATCTGAATGTTTTCCAGTATGGCACTATCATCTATCAAAAGTTTCATTCTTTCATCCCATCCTCCCTCTACTGGTGTGCAGAGTGGGTTTTTTGCAATTAAAAAAAAATAATACACATTAACACATTGGTATTGAAGAAAGTAAGGTCAAAGAGATGTGCCTTTCCATTTAGTGTGGAGATGGAAAACTTGTGATAAAAGCAAGGTGTTGGCCATTAGACATGTAAACAATCTTTTGTGGGGCTCTGTCCTTAAATTTCCTTATGGTAGAAGCCATTATGCATCTATTTGGGCTGACGGTGGGTTCTCAGTTGAGTAACGTGAGCAATACCGTAATGTAAATAACACAGAGATTTTTATCTTCACAATTTAGATATGGTCCATATTCCAAGCATGGTTTCTGTGAATATTGCAATTTTGTTGGTCAAATGATGTCATAGGTATTAAATGTGTGGTCTAAGTACAGGTAGGTATTGAGTGACTAGTGTCCCTTCCCATTCCTCTAGTGAATTGGAAGAAGTGCACTGAGAGTTGATAATGTTCGAAAGGTGATTTATCATTGTAGTCTGGCTATTTATGATGATCAAACAAACAGAAACTTTCCATTGTTTGCAATTATAGCAAGAGAAATTCTGAAGCCCATAACCCTACCATGCATTCCTTCTCTAATAGGGTGTATCCTTTTCCATTTCAGCCAACACAAGACTAAACAACTGTAAGGAATATCCTGTTGCTGCATGAATCCTTATAACCCTTAACTGTTTGCATCCGCAGATAATACCTTGAGGTATTCTTACATGAGAGAATGATAGCACAGGTGCAAAGATCATGTTTTTTTCTCTTCTTTAACATGACCCAACACCTAATTATGTCCTGCTTCAGCTTGCCAGTCATGAACTGGATCACTAATGACTAATTTGATAGCGATCTGCTACAATCCATCATGCCAAACACTTATTTAGCTGTGCAATGTTTTGGAGCATGAAAGGTGTATATATAAAAGAGTCTGATATCAGTAGTGCTGCCTGGACATGTACAAGTTGTACTGGATTTCTATAGCTGATACACAGTTGAATTGATATTCTCCCATGCTCTGATTTTCTGTTGAATTAATTAATATTCAGGCACTGTATGTCCTATTGAGGGTGAAGATGGAATAATATGGAACCCAGCAAAGTTTAAAGCTATTTAGCAAGTTCTGCCTTTTCTCTCCACTCCAGATGGCCCTATTTCCTCAAATTTTTGCTGAGTAATTCCCCCCCGATAGTTGAACAGATTTACACACCTACTATGAAATTGTTACATTGCTGCCGTTCTGCATCATAACTTCTTTAAATTGCTCCAAAAATCATCACTTCATCAGTAGTGGATAAATTGATTGTGGGTAGGCTGTGTCTGTTATCTGTCTTACTGAAGATTTTTCGTAGAGTTAAGGAAAAAAAATTGCCACCCTGCAACAGAATGCTGTTGTATTGACTAGTGCTTTGACGGAGAAGCTGTCAATCTATGTTCAGATTCAAAATTTGCATGCAAGAATGCAGACTGCCCCCAAATGTCCGGCTGCTTAGTAGAGGACTCCTCTTCTAGTCAAAAATGGTAAGTGGATAGACTTTTAGTTAGGGTAAAGGGAGTAATCATAAGACAATGTAAATAAGAAAAAAGAAGCATAAAAATTGTGTGTCAAATTATTTATCGTTTGAGTTGGCAATGCTGGGAGCTTATCATGGCTATGGCTCCTTATGTAGTGTAATCAACAACTTCCAAATGGCTTTATAATTTCGGAGGAACATGAAGTGCCATACTGGGTCAGACCAATGGTCCATTTAGCTCAGTATCCAGTCTCTGATAGTTGCAAGTAGTAGATGCTCTTGAGGGGATTAACGTATGAGCCGGGCCTGTCTAGACTGATCCGTCTCCTGTCATAACTTGCCTGGCACTGAACACCAATGGCTTAGGGATGGCAGAGGATACACCTGGCTGCTCAGTGTACTAGCTTCCACTGCTCCGTGAAACGTTTTTTGGAACTTGTTATTTTATCTGCCTCTACAACATCCCTTTCAGAGTGAATTGATGCTCCTCCCAGTTGTTTGTGATCACATTTCTATTTCACTGCCTTATTACAAAGATCAAGATAAAAATCAAGCCATGTTAAGTGGTTCTAGCTAAATAATGACTTCTTCCTGAAGCACATAATGTACCTTTCTTTTTATACTTTGGTCTGAATCACTGCCAGAAGGTGAAAGAAATTTATTCCTAGAAGAAAAGATGGGGATAGGAAGGGAAGGGAAAAATGAACTTCATCTATAGACCTCTATCTTGCACCGGTGAAGTTAATGGGATTTTTTTGACCAGTCCCTGATAGATAAATTATAATGATGTCCTAGAGCTCCATCTAGTGGAAGATGGTGGGTTCCTCTTCTGTCAAAGATTTGTCATCATATTGACAGGAGGATAGTCAATCCTTTCATAAATGTGGTAGTTGAAGGATTCCATGTCTCAGACATTCAAAAAGAGAATGTGTTCAAACCAATATCTTTATCTTTCAGTTGTGGGTGCCCTATATTTTAACCTAACAATGCCTAGGTTAAAGTGATACTTGTATAGTAACTTAAATCCTCCATAAATTTAAATGTGTTTATGGTTACCTGTCTAACGAGGACAATTTTTGTCATGTTTTACAATTTTTTAAAATTAACAAATGGATGACAAATGACATTGATTGTACTAGAAGAAGGAGAATAGAGCGATAGGGACAGGAATACAAAAGCGAAGCTTATATTACCTAAAGTACTGTTGATGGCTTTCTATCCCACCTGTAGTCTCTGGGATCAGTTAAGCACCTAGAAGAGATTGACTCTGCATGGACTGGCTGCAGGGTTGTTTTTGTAATGCAGTTGAAAGAACTTGTTCCATCTTAGTTTTGGGACAGTTTACTTAAATATCAGTCTTCTGCAGCCAGTTTTCTTTAAAGTTGGGAAAGAAAAAATAGCAAGAACTGACAAACTCAAAATTAACACAGGGTGATGTTGCAAATAGAAATTGGATATAATGTGCATGACAGTGAGCTGACTGTAATTGTATCTCTGTTCAGCTTCACGTTTAGATAGCTTATCCAGTTATTACTAGAGGAGAAAGCCCAGAACTGATGGGAATGATCATGACTAACAACCCTCTAGTTCACTTCTGGCTCGCATGACAAGACAAATGAGTCCTGTGGTTCAAACACCAAAGGAAATGCTCTTCCTTCTCCCAATAACTCTTTCATGTTTGTTTATAAATAGGGCCAAGGGTTCTCTTTTCGTTTTACATGTCAGTCGCAGCAAATGAACTATCAATAAGGTTTTAAAGTATATGCGTGTTCCATGAATATGATCTTGCCACATTTCAGGGAAACGTGTATAGTGGATTAGAGCTGTACAACTACACAGGTCCAGGTGAAACCCAGGTTGCTGCAAGGATTAATGCTGGTAAGTCAGTGGGTAGCGTTTTCCAAGCTGAAGTAATTAATGTATGCTACCAACTGGGTATTTACTAGGTGCCACTGCATGAACCGCCTGTCAGAGGAGAGATCCGCTACATCCAAGACTCCATGGCTTGTCCTGGCAGACTTCACTTTGGGTATGTATCTGCCCACATAAATTCCCACTTCTGTTTCCATTTGATGTGGATCTCTGCACTTGCACCCATAAATTAAGGTTGAGATTTGGCTATAACTATTTGCTTAAGTTCTTTCTCTCCTTTTTCTTTTATATCCTTACCCTTACTTATTTTCCCTCTCAGTTACTGTTACTGATAGCCTTCAGCTAGTGGGAAGGTGAAATTCCACCACCGACTGAAGATGCGATTGACTTTCTGACCTGCCATCAAGGAAGCGCACTATACAAAATCCAGGAGATTTCTTCCCTCCTTCATGTGCGGGAAGAAAGAGACAAACAATGGAAATGAAATTGAAGGTCAGATTTGATCTTGCGTGTTCCACACTCTGCAATCAAGGCTTTAGAGTTGAGCTAGTCCAATGTAGGATTTTTGCCAACTTTTATTGAGAAATGGCCAAAGCGATGGTTCAAGCCAAAGCAACGAAGGAGCTGGTTTTGAAAGTTGTCTACCGCTTGCTGGCCTACCCGTCTTTGGAAGGTGTAATTTTTTTAAAGCAAAAATGTAACGTGCTGTTGATTTTCAGTGTCTGGAAATAAAAAACCTTCTACACTACGGCTGACAATTGACTGGCATATTGTCATGACTATGGTCCGTATTCTTTTTAACCAGGTTTGATAGCCATTTTTCCTCAATATCTTCATTTCTGCTATAAAATTATATGCCTTTTTAAAAAGTAAATTCAGTCTCCCTCTAGTGCCATTAATTTAGGGCCACGGTACATATAGTTTAGGTTTTGCCTGGTTTATATCATTA